ACAAAAAACATTTTGTCGACGGTGCATTTAAAGATTAGTCCGATTCTGCAAACATTTGTGATGGTATAATTTGGATATATCAATAATTTGGATATATCAACAAAGTTGAAATGGTAAATTAGCCACCGTAATGATTACAAAAGCTGACGTTTCGAGCGTTAGCCCTTCGCTCCGACTGAAGAGACAATTTTTTCGCCAGTGCGGAATGGCCCTAACCCTTGTTCGCGCAAACAATGATTCGATGACTTCGTGTCAAGCCGCTAATGTTCCAGCTCAGCAAAAATAAACGTAAAATGATGCTTTGTCTATTTTATACAAGATTATATAAAATGCTGAGGGCATTTTTCAAACGTGAAATTTAGATGTTCTTTGATTAACAATGATACATAGCTTTCTTCTATGGCGTTCCATCAACGCCAAAATTCAAACTTAGCCCTTTATCAACGCATACCATCATTCACTGGCAACATTTAAATATTCAATTTGGACATGCAACATTTGGACATGCAACAATTCCAACTTTCATTTCGGACATTCGACTTTCAATTTGACAATCCATTCAAACATTCCATTATTCAATCTGAACTTTCAATACGAATATTCAATCCAAACATTCAATTCGAATATTCGATTCAAACATTCGATTATTCAATTCAAACATTCAATTCGAACGTTCAATCTAAACATTCAATTCCAACATTCAATTTGAACATTCAATTCAAACATTCGATTATTCAATTCGAACATTCAATCCAAACATTCGATTCGAACGTTCAAAAACCATTCAGTGAGCGAGGTCAAGAAAAAAATAAAAATAAAAACATAAGAAATAATAAATTAATATTGGTGTACCACAAATGTACTCCAATAAGGCAGATCCATATTGGGCTCTGCAGATTTGTGCACAACATTTCAACAAATATATCTGAAGCGTGGGCTAATGCTCAGACGGATGACTGCTTTATTAATCTCCAACAATATCCCATTCAGGGCTGTCACTAATTTTTGAAGTAAGTGGGGATATACAAAAAAATAGCTGGGGATTCAAGTTGCTGTAGTGAAGTCAACATGCTGGTTTTATATCAAAGTAGCTGGGGGTATACCTAAATACAAGGGGAAAATTCCCGGCCCCGGCCCTAATAACAGCCTTCTCATTTTTTTTACCTGACACTCGCTAAACATGCATGGTTTTTCCATATCTTTTTTTATTGCGGGATAATAAAAACGATCCACAATTTTAGCCCCCGAAATTGTTAAGTATTCACGACCGATTGGGAACATACTACACCTGTGAGGGAGGAAATTAATTTCAATTTTCGCACGATGTAGGAATCGCGTAAAATCAGCGACGTCAACATGGATTGCACAGTACAAACGTCTGCAGATCACTAGCCAAAAAAAACTCCAACAGAAACAATATAGTTTAGAAGTGCAAACTATGAGATAGCGATAAATTATCTCTTACCTTATATAAATCGACAGAAAAATCGCTGGAAACGCTGAAAATTTTGTAATTCACACCATAGTTAATAGAGTTCCCCTCTATTAACCATGGCCACACGCACAACCTCTGGATATGACTCCTCTCTTTCCCGCCTTTCGACTGCCGAACGTCCCGGATGTTAGTCGGGTGACACTGGGAACGATGTTGGAATTGAATGTCGGAATTGAATGTTGGAATTGAATGTTTAGATTGAACGTTCGAATTGAATGTTGGAATTGAATAATCGAATGTTACGTTCGAATTGAATGTTTGGATTGAATATTCGTATTGAATGTTCAGATTTAATAATCGAATGTTTAAAAGAATGTCCAAAATGAAAGTTGGAATTGAATAACCGCTTGTTTAAATTGCATGTCCAAAATGTTGTAAGTGGATTTTGCATGCCTGCTTTAAATGTTTCACTTGATTGATTGAATGTTTGGGGTGTATGTTTGAATGTCGTGAGTGCATTTTAAACGCCTGACATGAAGGTTGCAGTGGAGGTTCAGTGTTTCAATTAAATAATTATTTGAATGTTGCCAGTGAATGATGGAACGCCATATTCTTCAGCTTTACTATGCTCCAGACCATCGGTGGAATGTTGACGGGAATGATTCAGTACAATTCATATTTATTGACCTACCGTCAAATAGCCTTTGGAGTCCTTTACCCATCCAATGATCATGTCGCTACCGGCCATCTTTCCATTCCCTGACGAGATTCCGAAACCTACCCATCCTGTAGTTGCCGCCTCAACAGCGAAAGACACGGTTTCTTGCTCCCAGTCGACGGTCCAGTACAGCTTCATTAACTCTTTCGGATCCAGAGCTGCATAGTGAGCGTATTCAGTAGAGAGAACAGCGGCTCTGGCTGAGACCAGAACTGATAAAACCACTACCACTGAAGAAGACATTTCTGTTAGGCATCCGCACTTAATCGTGACTAAACGGTTCGCAACTGAAAGCCCAGCTATATGACCAGGGATTACTCAATGCAATCTATGAATAGCACATTACAAACGATTTATTTTCATACGGCTTTGTTCTCAGATCTTGTGCTCAAGTGATGCAGCTAATTAAGGATACTTGAAATTCGTGTTCAATATAGCATTGGTAGCCATTGTTAGCATTTATGGATGCTAGTTGATATAAATCACCCTAAAGGGAGCTTTGTTCATAATTGTATTTCCAAGCGAGAATAATTCGATGAACCTCTCAGCAGGCTGAGAACAGGAGTTAATTGGAAACTTAAAATTTATATTGAATCGTGCATATTGAGTGACCACCGTGGATGAACTAGGAAAACTTCGATTGAAAGAATGATTTAGGGATCAGTAACAATGACGTTAAAACAACGACACCGCTGTGTACAATGACGCATACCAAGGTGTAAAGATGCCAGGGCTACAAACAAGGCTACTGAATAGAAATAAACCGAAAGTCAATTATATTCATTCAAGTCTTACTGAGTTGCCAACCAGGAAAACATCACAGTGGTCTTTAACTTCATACGCGTGACATCTGTTACTCTGGTCTTTAAACCATTTGGGCGAACGAGTGTCTCGAAAACATAGACCTCGAAAACGCAGATTGTAGACCGCAGACCTCGAAAAATTTGTTTTCGACATCTGATGATATAAAAAAGAATATTTTTGAGAGGATGTTTAAAACAGCTATACAGACGTTTGCAAAACGATTTAAATTATCTCGGTTCAAAGTTTTTGTCCACTCGTTACTCGAACTTAAAATCGTTTTGAAGACTCTTGAAACAACAAAATTGAACACTTGGCGGCATTAGCTTTCGTCCAGTTTCGCTCACGTATTGCACAAAACAGATGGGACATCAAATTGATTTGCTTTTCTCTGATATTGACTTGATGACACTGTATGATACCACAGTATCGAGAACACGACTTCAATTCATAGTAATTAAACCACCTTATTTCACATTGCAAGATGTTTCTCTGTACTTTAAACCGATAATTCCCGACTCAGTAAAAATTTAAACAAGTGGCGAGAAATCTCTTGGGAGTTATGGTGACACACCCGAAGCTATTGCCTGCACTCCTTTTCACATTTGCTTGTACAGGTGCTAATGGCAAGGGATTAATTTATTCACTTAACTATTTACATATTTCTTCCTGCATTCAGTCAGTTATTCATTTAGAGCTCCGTAGAGAGAAAAAAAGAGAAAGCAGGTTTGCACTACAGCTAGATAAACGCGTTTTTGTCTTTTACTGGTACCGAACTGAAAATTTATAACAGTATCTAATAATAATAATAATAATAATAATAATAATAATTTATTTCTTATATAGCGCTACTTACAATAACAGATCAATAGCGCTTTACAACTGAT